GGTTTAGGGTTTAGGGTTAGGTTGAGATTCGGAGATGTTCAGGCTTCCAGGCAGCATGCGGCTTTGAAAGCGTCGTGAATCAGTCAAGCCCGGAACTGTGAAACCAGACTTAAATGAGCCCTTCAGGAACCCCAAAAAAAACTTCGAAGGAACCCTTAAAGGAACCCTTAAAGGAATCCTTAAGGAGGAACCCTTAAGGAGGAACCCTTAAGGAGGAACTTTGAAAGAAGACCTCAGAGGCCTTCCTCTTGTCATTGGAAGAAACTCAACCTCGTAGAACGCATCATTCTTAGTGACCCGGTTTAGGGCTTAGCCGTTCAGGGCAGGGTTTGGGGGGCTTTAGGGTTTAGGCTTTAGGGTTTAGGGCAGGGTTTTGGGGGCTTTAGGGTTTAGGCTTTAGGGTTTAGGGCAGGGTTTCTGGTTTTTGGGTTTAGCAAGGTTTAGGGTCTAGGGTTGTTCTGATAATCATGCCGGGTATTGATCCTGAGCTCTAAGCCCCCCGTTACCGCAAGGCAAAGAATGCTTGGGTGCTGGAATCGCCATGAGCCGGGCCACTGTGACCAAGAGACTTCGAAACCCCTTAGTCAAGGGAGTCAGCTGGGCCCGATAGGGTTTTATAATCGTTTTTTTAGGTTGCTTAGGGGAGCCTTGATCGAGGAATAGATGACTATGTACCTTAAGTCGTAGCGGGACCCTCAATATGAATGAAGATATATTCCTCAACTACGGGGCTCTGGAGTTGCTGGGGACTTCATACTACCTCGCGTCAGGGCGAAAAACATCTCGCGCGCGTGCGAAAAGGGCTTTTGCCAGTAGCGGTGTTGAATCTCGCTTTCGAGCCCTCAGCAAGAATTCGATTTTTTGAATCCTACTCCGGAAGATCTGTCTTAAGGCCCTTTTGTGTACCCATATGCCAGGGGAGCATGTTCTGCACAAGATACATAGCACAGTCAAGCAGAGCATGTTGAGAGTGTACCATGATCGACGGTTCGTTACCTGATGAGCGACACAGCACATGAGAGAAGTGTTTGAAAAGGGCGTCGCATTGCAAGTTTTTGTTTCTGGCAAGTGACGTATTATGTTATTGCATGTATCACGAAGAGTGGCAGATGGTTATTTAAACAGATAAAATGCATAGCAAATGGCATGTACTGGGAAACCTCGTGGCATGTAGCATCTTGTGCAGAAGGTAGAGCACATGCATGAGATATACCCATGGGTGCCAGACAAGCCGGGACTTTACAGCAGACATACGATGTGCATGTTTGCGATGTTTCGTCCTTAGATGCTATGGAACCCTTCTTTGCGAGCTGCTGTTCAAAGACTCTATATGGGTAGTTCTCTAAAGTCGGGTCCCTTTGTAGGTCCCCAAGATAGTGCGGCACCCTTTTCGAGGGTGTAGGGTTTAGTGCTGAGGGCCTTCAGCTGAGGATCTATTGGGGGCTCTTGAGTCTTCAACTTTTACCTTTGGGTTCAGGGCTTAGGGTTTAGGGTTTAGGGTTTAGGGTTTAGGGTTTAGGTTGTAACGAAACTGTGCCGGTTTCACTTCTAGTTCAGAAGGGTCCGCGGCAGATGCGGCAGGATAGAGGTCCCAAAAGCTAGTAGTCATATCCCCTTAGAGTTCTTGCAAAACAAAATGTAACATAGCAATAGACTGCAACATCCGGTTCTCATCATTGAGGCCTCTTTATTGATTGTTGCGTGCCTGCGAACCAAAATATCGGCTCCTGTCGGTCGATAGAGGGCGCAAAGACTTGTATCGCCTCGCATCCAACACCTCCGCCGTCCAAGATGTGCGGACCTGAGATGCCATCATGCGCCTTACTAAGAGCCGGGAACTCGACAAGTAAAGCTAAAAGTAATATAGGGACCTATACTATTTTGGGGCTCCTGACTATAGTTATAGTATTATATACCACAAGACCCTGCTCTAACTTTTAAGGCCACTTACACTAGGTTAGTAGCAGGGCTTACAAGCAGTTCTAGCTAGGGTGTCCTGACGGATAGTCCTACTTGGTGAGTCCCCGATCATCTGAGTAGAATCCCACGTCACCCTGCCTTCCCAACCCTAAACCCTAAACCCTAAACCCTACACCCTACACCCTAAACCCTAAACCCTGCACCCTAAACCCTAAACCCTAAACCCCAAACCCTAAAATCCAAACCCGGCGCGCCAACGCCTCGAAACCCAAATCCTGAACCCCAAATTAGGGTTTGGGGTTTAGGGTTTAGGGTTTTGGGTTTTGGGTTTTGGGTTTAGAACCCTAAATCCTACTTAAACCCTACACTGTATACTGTAGACCCTAAACCCTAATTAAAACCCTAAACCCCAAACCCTAACTGAATTCTGAACCTCCAGCCCTAAGTAATCCCTAAACCCTAAACCAACCCTGAACCCTAAGCCCTGCATGTCCTACGCAAAGGATCAGGGGACTGAGTGCCGGATGTTGTCAGTAGAGGTCTTTTGTCCCTGTCCCGGTGAAGGTACTTATAGCCTTACTGACTGAGTCTCCCGATCCTCTGGGTAAACCCCTACACCCTGTACCCCAAAACCCTAAACCCTAAACCCTGGGAGAAAGGGCTACTACACTAAAAAAACCCTAAACCCCAAACCCTAACACCACACCCTCCTCTCAACCCTGAATAGCTGCACGGTAACCCTAACCATGAACCTTAAACCCTAAGCCCTAAATCTGAAGCCCTGGACTACAAATCCTACCCCGCAACCCTGAACCCGAAGCCCTAAACCCTAAACCCTCAACCCCAACGGCAGATCTTGGGACCCAAGTGTAGGAGCAACCAGCCCCTGGCCCCTGACAGTCGTTGCAGGCGTGGTTTAAGGATTACTTGGAGGTCGAGGGGT